ATTTTGGTAAGTTTCTGAATGGGTTAATATTTTATAATTGCCTGCAGCAAGAGTGTACTGAATAATCAAAAAGGCCCCTTTAGTTGTTCCTTCATTACAGAAGAACTTGTTGAGATCTGTTCAAACTAAAGCCATTAGCCAGCTCTGAAAGAAACAACTGAATTGTTGAATTTCTTTTTGTGGCTTTTGAAAATTTTCTGCAAGGGAAGAACTCCAAGGCTAATACTATTTTAAGATTATCTTTTAAGAAAAACAGAGAATAACAACTGCTTTTCAGTGTTAGAAGAAAAAGTAAGACAAAATAAGATTCATAACTACCCACCTGGCACATGAATCCCTTGCTTTTGTTATGGCATTAGTTTCACTGAACATTTTAGAATTTTACGACTGGCATTTTTTTTGTTATTATTCAAAGAGTGATTAATGTTATTGGTGATGTATCACCTCAAAAATCCTTTTGATTTCAGGATCATTTTTTTCTTCTCCAAGGACACTACCTTTGTTCAGCATTTTATAAGTATCTAAGAATATACCTGACAGCCAGCCAGATAAAGGGAGGCTGTCAAATCACTTCTCCACAACAGGAAACCCATTTATATGAAACACTCCTACAGAGTAACTGTGTACGTTGCAGGAAAGGGTTTGAGGAAGATGACCTATCTCTTTGATTTATATCTGCAGGGGTTCTGGCATCTTGCTGGATACTTGTTGTGGTTAAATAATTATTAAATTGTCAATATTCCAAGAAAAACAAAACATATACTGTTTTACTGTGAAAATCATGCAAAATAGCTGTATGCTGTTTGTATTTGATTTTGTTGGACTGTACAGTGCACTGAAATCACCAACTGTCAGATGTAATATGACAACCAAATGCTTGGAGGCTAGAAGTATTCTATCACTGTCATGCTGTGGATAATTTATGCCAGTAATCCGCAGGCACATCTGAGCAGCAGGACACACTGGATGTTATCCTACTGCCTCAGTGGAAAATGTACTTCAAGGCAACTTGGTGCTAGTGTAATGATGGGATTCCAGGTGTTAAACCACCAGCAGCACTTTGAGATATGCACAAAGCATTGCCTCTTTCATTCCTCCAAACCCATAATCTAGCACTGCTTCTTGCCTGTCAAGAGCAGGGAAATATCACAAAAGTAGCTGCTGATGTAGAGATGGAGAAAGCAGGCTAAAAGGCACAAATCCTCGCAGTAAGCAGATTCAAGAAGGGAGAGCCAGTATGACGCTATTTCAGCCATGGTGATCCCCTCTTCTGCTGCTGACCCGGGCAAAGCTTCCCTAGCTGCTGGCACTGTATTCATGCTATCAAGCACATCTTAATGCACCCAGGCAAGTGGTGTTTCAGTTCTGCAGCAGGACTCTGAGTTGCCTTGAAGCTCACATCCCTTATCTGCGGTTTTTACTTTGCTGGCCCTCTGAAGGAGCTGCATGCACAAGCTAAAGCAAGCGAGGATTTGTGCTTTTTAAGCCTGACAGAAAGCCTGATAAAACAGATGTCGGCAAGGGAATGTATACAGAAAAAGAGAATTACTAAGAGACTGCGTGCTTAGCGATTCGCTTCATTCAAGTATATGCAAGGTCCGACTTTGTCTCTCACTTTTAAGACATGGTCCGAAGCCCACCGAGTCCAGGAAAACTTTCCGGGATCTAATGTGTTTTAATAACTAGAGACTTCATTTAAACTATTAACAGCATGCCTCTCAATAAAATTAATTTTATACTCTTTGTTCATGGGTGGATGAATAACAAAACTGATACAAGATTCGACCTGAGCAAATATGCAGGTCTATTTACAGATTTACAACGGAAACCTTGCACAGCACCTGCCCACACATAATTCTGGCTCCTGGCACTACTTTAAGGAGTATTGAATTCCTTCCCACCCACACATCTTTACATAAGTAAAAGCTTAAACATCAATTCAGACTAAACATTTTTGAATGCAGAATCCCTTGAGTGCCATAAAGAGAAACAGTGGTGTAAATGAAACTTTAATTTCCATCATGCTCAATAACTGATGTGCTAAAAACATAGATTTTAAAACAGTACATAGTTTATTTAAAGTTATTGATTCACACTTCCAGTAAATTCCTATGTTCCAGCAGCACACTGTGTTTCCACTGGAGGCTGAGACCACCACTAGATGTTATTCATCAAGTGGAAAAAAATTTCTGTCCTGAACGGCTGGCAAAAAGAGGTGCCATACAACATGACTTCCAACATGGCATGTGAAGAAGGGCAACCTGAAGCAGAATTTCCTAGCCTCTGGTGGGCCCAAGGGATTTCTTCCACTTGACATAGTGGATACCATATTTTCATAGAAAGCATGGTCTGTGAAAAGTGGTTAGGAAAGGTAGGTCAGTATTTGTGTCACTGAGCAATGTAATTATGTACAGTTCTAACAGGGATTGGCATCATCAGCCACAATTTTTTAGGAGTCCATTGATTCAGGGTAGGTTGAGAATCACCATGCAGGAGCATTAATGGGAAGGAAAATTAGATCTTGGCTACGGTCACTGATGTCCAGCCTGGTGTAAAAAGAAAGGTAATATGACAGCCTCTGATCCTATCTAATAATAATGAGAAGCTAACAAAGAGCGATCTAATAGAGAAAGGCTCCCAAAAAACAGCTAATGCTCAATTCCATTAGTTCAACATGACCTCAGAAGTTTTGAAACAGTCAGACTGGAGTCTGAGCTTGCCCCAATGTTCAAAGGTGAAAAAGCTGACAGTTTTGTTCTTTCCTTCTGACTCCACCTGGTCTTTTTCAGTACAGCAGTAGTCTGTCATCTTTTTCACAAATCACGATATGCACCACTTGTAACCTGTGTTTGGATAACGCAAGACACCAGGAGGCCTGGGACATTTCCTGGTTGATCTCAAAGTGGCACTGGCACCAGAAAGGGAGGTGAAAACTACCACTGCCTGACAGCAGCAACGGAATTGCAGAAAAACTGGCAAAAATCAGCTTCCACCACTATGGAAAAACTTGCTCAGCTTGGTGACTTCACCAAGATGAAAGTAACTTGCTCAGCTTGGCGACTTCACCAAGATGAAAGTGTCCGCAGCATTACGGGCACATCAGAGGGGAAGGCTGTGTTCAAACTCCACTTTGCCAGGCTCAACATGGGAAGATCATGCTCCAGACCAGCCAGCTCTACCTGTGTCATCTTACACAGCAATTTCCACTGTATCTCAGAGAAATATTTTTGTTATTCAAAAATCCAAACTGAACTACTGCAAAAAAAAGTGTTGACCTCCTGGACCTATTTCGTACTTCATACCATTTCACTTGCTGCAGCTGTACCAACTTTAAGGGAATTTACACATTAGTGTAAGAGAAAAGAAAAGTAGGTCAATTGTCTTTAGAAAAACAACTTGAATCTTCAGAGCCAATTTATTAAACTGAACCTACATAAGTATGAAAAAATAAGGATCTCAATTAGCTTCAGTTTATGAAGCTAGCACCTGAAGTCTACATTTCAAAGGCATGTGCATTTTGCATAATTTTTCTGACTCTCATGAACCTCTTCCCTTGTAATTTATGCTATATACATCTTGAATTAAAGAAAAATAATCATTTTCAGGCACTGTTAACCATGGAATGGATTCCCCAAGTTTCACTGCATATTAATAAGACCACTCTTGCAGCCTTTCAAAGCTATGCGTAATTATTTTACAGCATCCCTTTTAGATTAATTTTGGTACAATATATATACCAACCCTGGATATGAGTGTTTCTAGCATAAGCACTCCCTTCCTACAATGATTTCAGCATATCTCATTACATTAGGTAGAATTGAAATTAAAAAAAAAAAAAAAAAATCTTGTTCAGGTCACAAACCAAAAGCTGGCAGTGCTTAGGGAGAAACTGTGATTAAGGTATTCTACATAATATGTTTGCTGGGGTTTTTTACTTTGTTCTGCAGTACATAGCATTATTCACCATCAAAAGTTTGATCTGATAAATTAGTTCTTATGTTTATAAAAAGCTATTGGCATAAATACCTCTTAGAATGGCACATAAATGTGATAACAGAGTAACACACTAAAATGAAGCAGAATGTCAGCCATCCAGTTGTCCTGACCCCGTAAACTGCATCTGTACTTCCTGCTTCAGCCAATGAATGTGGGTCTCCACAGATTGTCCTTATCACTGTGCACAAAATTTTCCACAAATGAATACAAAGATGGGTAATTTATCCATATTAGGGCTAAGACTGTGTTCACCTTTCAACAGACTAAACCACTGTTTGCTTATGCTTCTCTAAAAAAAAATGTTGAAAATGTTTTCCTCAAATCTACTGTAAAGACAGTAACAGAGGAGCATTAAAACTTGTTTATAGTTTATTCTTTAACAAAATAGCTGCTTTCAACTGGAAGAGCTGAATTACAGATCTCAATCAGTACCTCTGCTATAAACATCTCCAAGAACACACACTTCTACTTGTTCTGCAGGGAATTTCCTACACAGAGACTGAGCACAGAGGGTATATAAAGACTTTATAAAAAAATGAAGTATTCTTCCTTCATTTTAAAACCCTGCACCTTCATTTTTCAGCTATCAAGAGGGAGTCTTCTCATAAGTATTTCCCTCTTTGCTCCAGGAAAAGCTGATCATTAAAATCATAAGTAACTGGCTGGGACCTGTGGGCTTGGCCAGGCCAACCTCCAACTCAAGGCAAGTCAACCTTTGAAGTTAAGATTAAGTTGCTCAGGCTTTTGCTGCTTCTATTTTGAAAATCACCAAAGACTGCAATTCCACAACCTTTGCAGATAACCTGTTCCCATAATTATTTTACCATATGGATTTTTTGCCTTCTCTTCTGCAAGTTGAACGTAATTCCCTCAACCACGGCAGAGGTGAGAAGAAGAATAATTTTCCTCGATCTGCAGGTTCCTTCCCCTTGTAATAATTTCTGTTAGTACTCATCACAAATATAGTCTCTCATATATATTTATATATTTAAATTAACACTCACCAGCCACTGCTGAGGTATTTCTGGCAGAGGCATTTGAGGTGGCGCTGGCAAACTGTTGGTGACTTCTTGCTTCTGTACATGTTCTTTTATTTCAAAACCTGTGGAAGAGCAACAGACATCACTTAACATTTTGGTGGATGCAAATGGGACATTTTTTCAACATGTGGACACCATGTCTGACTGTCACACACCGAGATCTGGCACACAGAGCTGCTCACAGCCTACCTCCCAGGCACAGTTTCTGAGGCAGGACTGGAAGAATGCTGGGAATTCAGGAATTTAATCAAGCAGAACAAACACATACTTACTCTATATGATAATGACATATATGCTATTTGGATCAACAAACACCAGACATAGAAAAAATTTACAGGAAATCATTCTGAACTGCCTATCCATCTGGAACTGAAAGACTTAAACAGCTAAAACTCAAATAGGTTGCCAGGCATCTACCATACAAATAAAACCATTTATGGGGTGAAAATGTCACACTTGCAAACATCCTAAGGGCACTGTACAGTGAATAAAACATGGTCAGCCTGTGGGCAGTATGTGGCTGTCTGTCTTTTACCAGTAGAGATGAGCAACAGTTGCTCCCATGGCACATTTTGGTTGGGCAAGGCCATCATGCAGAAATTAGTCCAAAACCACCTTTCATGCCATAAGAGTGGGGAAGAGGCCAGTAGAAGACACCATGCCTGCCTCCCTTCCTGGCAGCGATGGTGATGGCTACATGGCCAAACCCACAGCATCCATGCTCCCTGCAGTCCCTGTTGCCACCATCTCTGATCATGGAGCCACGGTATGAGTTGGCCCAAGTCCTGGGAGATGCAGGATGCTGTGACGCTCCAACCTGGAGCATGTTGCTGCTGGCGGGACATTGCCCTAACCAACTCACCGTTAATGGAACCGCACACTGCGCATGTTTTCCCACTATTTCATTCCTCCTCACATTTTTTTTTTTTTTTTAATAATCTCATAGTTTTCCAGGTGAATTTGAAAAGGGAAAAGAAGCTGAACACAGAAGGTGCTTTGAGGGTCCTTTGCATCACTATTGCATCTTCCTCCCAGGGGAAGAGAGAAGTGACATGCTCTTTTGGAGTTTTTTGCACAAAAATTTAAATCACAGTTGAACTCACTTCATAGGAACAGGAAATGGTTTATTTTTCTAAATATCAAAAGGGAGATTAGGGTACATCTCCTCAATGTTCTGGCAAAAATTCAGTCAATGGACTGTACCCTGCTTACCCTAGACTGAATTTATATCCTAGTGTTTAGTTTAGTTTTTAAAATATATATTTACATAATCAAATGGATATCTTTTGGTCAAGATCATGTAATTCTCAAAAGTGTAATCAATGATGAAATGTTTCTTGTCATAATACCCCAGTCCCACTGGCTGTGAAGTCATGGATTGAAAAACAACACTGATAAAATAAACTGGCTCCAAGGGCCACAGATTCTTCTTGCTTCCTACAAATCAAGAGGGGGATTAGTTTTGAGAAACACTGCAATTTTTTTTTTCAGTATAACTTTTACTTGTTCCTCCTGATGTAGGATGAAGCCATATTATGACTGCTATCCATATCCAAGTCTCCCGTGCTTTCCATAACAACCAGAAGTCAAATATGAACAGTTTTTAGCTGAAAAAAAAAAAAAAAAAAAAAGTATTCCAAGTGAATTTTAATAACTCTGTAAAACTAGTTTTTCCCCAGTTTTTAATTTTGTGTGTTTAAGCAAAAACCTGCTCTAACATTTATTGTCTTCTACCAAATCACACAGCAATGTGAGCACTATAGGTTTAGGGTATCGGGTCCCTTTAAGGAAAACAGGCAATGTTGACAGTCATATTAAATGACTAAATCCAGCAACAGTTCTTACTCCAAAATAAACTGTGTCTTTGTTTTTTAGAAGAAAATCTGTGTTTCAGAAGGAAATGCCAAGTGTTTTCTTCAGATCTACAATCCATTGGGCATGCCAAGGCTCAGGAAGAAAAATAAAGTTTATAGTTTTGCCAGCTATTCAGAGTAATCACTGGTTTGGATGTGGGGCAGGACGAGGCCAGGCAGCTACAACCTGAAGAACACATCTGCCTGGCCCAGTAATCTCTGCTTGATAGATATTAAATGAAGAAAACAGTGTGCATTTGGGAAATGGAACAAAACAAGGCAAAAGATTTCTAAAGAATTCCCCAAGTAAGAACTTACTGAGTTTAAAGTGTTTTACTAAAAGCTAACCAGTTCATTATAATAATTTCCACACCTTTACAAAGAAAAACATAATTGTCCATTTCCAGATGTTATAAAGAACCCAGCCAGTTCCCAGTTGCCCAGATCTTTCATTGCCATTCCCCACTGATCTTAAATAGTTTGCTCCAGCAATTGAAATATCCTGTTGGATTCACACAGTTGATTTTTGCAAATGCGTATAAAGAGTCTGAACTCAGGCCTCTTAAATTGTGCCAGCGACCCAAGAGCTCTTGTGGAGTTATGTGGGTGGAGTAAAACAACATTTTGAAAAACAGGCTCCAAATGACAGTTCAGCTTAGTTACAGAGTACTGTGGATTTATGTATCTTTTATTGATTTTTATTCTAATGAAGAAATGAATAGTTTCAAATGAATGGGAGTACTAAATGTTATAACTGATAAAAAAAGCAGCAAAGTCAGTTCCAGTAAAGTACATGACTCCCCAGGTAGTTTCACACACACTTGAAGCCAGCACGGGATGGCAGAGCCCCAAGGAGGCAGATCCTCTCCTTCCCTGCCTTGTTCCTGTCCCTGCACCAACCTCTCTTTTGTGCCAGCGTAAGCATGTGTGTGGCCTCTGGTTGAACCAGACCAGGGAAGTGACACTGGTTAAGACTAAACCAGCAAAAGAAAAGCAAATAATGCTTGTGCTAGCAGAAAGGAAGATGCAATATATGATGAGCAAGAATGAGTAGCCTGGGGAGAGAAACAGGATGCTTCTTTTAGAGGCCATGCTGACTTAAACTCTATTTAAACTGCAGTTCCATAAACTAGAGTTTATAGACATATAAAGCATAGTCCTATGACCTCTTGCTTAACTGAACTATGAGATTTCCTTGAATTAATTCTTGTTTGAACTACAGCATATCTTTTAGCAAAATATCCCATTTTGATAAAATGCCAACAATGGCATGCAGACCTTACAAAGTTCTTCCATTAGCTCATAGCTTCAGTGCTCAAAACATGCTTTATTTCCACTTTGAAACAAACATTCAGCCATTGCACTTATGGTTGTGTAAGTCAAAGATCTCATTCTCAGTCATTCCTTTTCTACATCAAGATTAATTATGATACCTCATTTCAGATAATTTGAATGCATATTTTTGAATCCCTTAATAATTTTCACAACTTTTCTTTGAAATGTCTAAATTTTATCTCCTTTAATGTAGGCACTCGAAGTAAGTAAAATGTTCCAGTAACAACTGTACTGAGCTAAGCCTTACCACTTAGTATATGGATCTCGTATGGATCTTGTTAATGGATGGGTCCTGTAATAGGATGTAATAGATCTTGCTATAGATCCTGTAATAGGCTTTAAAACCTAAATGGCAGGTGCTGAAAGGTAGAAAGCTATGGTTCTGGGGTTTTTTTATCCTTGGCCACATCTAGAGTTATAAATTAAACATGCCTAGGAAGGTGGTCTGGTATGGAGAAATTGATATCCATACGGTTAAAATCTCTCACCTCTCAAAACCAAGTGGAGAGTGATGATTTTGAGCTGTCTGTTAGGAACAGATCTTTGCCCAAGCTAAGTACCAAATCATGCCTAGGAACTGATGGAGAAGATGAGTCAATTCAGGTCAAATCCATGCCAAAGACCACTCCATAACTTAACAGCATACATTATTGAGTTCTAGGGTCCAGAAACATACCCAGCACTGTTTAATTTGCTAGTAGAGCTGTAGCTTTTGTGTCCCAAAACACCATCTACAATCCAAAAAGAAAGGATATGACAACCCTTCCCTGTGTTTTCAAAGTTGGCAACAAAATGTTGCCTGACTTTTGAGGAAGGTAAATATTTTTCTTTATAAATCTAGTTGAAAAGATTACAAGAACATGCAGTGTCAGATCAGCATTGTTGCGCTTATTTTGAACTCCTGTAAAATACAGCTGTTTCTAAACATATCAAATTGCAGGTTCTCACCTACAGAGTTTGGTTTTGGAGAGTTTGGTGTACTTTGATCAGCTTTTACAGCATGAAGCCTCCTTCCACAGTATGAGAAATTGGTACCTGCCTCCTTCTCTCACATAGTGATGGGTCTTTAAGAATGTCAAAACGGAAAGGAGGACAATCATTATTTTCAAGTTGATCCCATTGGACTTGAATCCTGTGGCAAAAATTATTACCGAAGCAGAGAAACACTGCATTAAACAAGACCATATTTTTTTAGCACTGGAGAAAAAATAAATCGTGAGAAATGCAGCTGCTCACAATGTGGCATTTTTCTTCAACACTGGTATTTTTCAAAAATCTAAACACTGAGGGTTTACACTGACAGTATTTCTGTCACGTGTAGGAGAGATAGAGGTCTTATAGTCCAGATGCCACTTCATACAGAAAGGTGCTGGAAGGAAATATAAGAGCAGTTAAATAAAATTGTGAGGAATATTATTTGTATAAGCTCTGTGGAAAGGTTGCTGTACACTGTGAATCATTTATATTGCATTCAGTGCCATAATCTTGATGAAGACAAAAGCAATTGTGCAATCAAAATGGTTTTAGATAGGAAGAAAAGCAGAAAGTGAATATAACACTAACTGCAAAGTGCAAACCAAACATGCTGCCAGCCATTTCCTAGCTCTGGCTTGGCACTCTTGTATCAGTCATGCACCAGAGACCACCTCAATATCAAGCATTTTAATGGATCTGGGACATTTGACTGATATGCAGCATGCAGCACCCACATATTTATAAAATGGTGCTGTGACCAGCACTGCCTGAAGCAGTATTACTTTTCCACCAAAACTCATAAATAGCATTGCTGCAACAAATAAAATAAAGTAACCACTCTATCAGCAGAGGTGAAAACATTCTATCTAGTGCATAATTTTGTAGCTGGATTCACCCATATGAACCGAAGATACTTCCAGTATGGCTTTTGCTGTATTTTACTGCTGAACATGAAGGAAAGCATTCAGGAAAGTTACAATTTGGCTTCACCCTGTCTATCTTGCTTCAATTTAGGGCTTTTCTTTAGCTCTTAACTCTATTTCACTGAGCACAGACGTATTCAATGCATTCTGCAAGAGAGAAACCCACCCCTGACACTGACCTTTTGATGACTGTATCCTCAGGAGAATGTTAGTTATTACTGCCTTCTTCTCCCTGACAGTGGAAGTTAGATATTCATGGTCCAGAAGTTCAAGAAACAGGCGCAGCTCAACTATTAACTCTTCCATGGCTGAAAGAAAAGAAAGAGAATTATTTTTTCTAAAAAGTCCTATTAGAAAAAGACAGAGTTAATTCTCATTTATTCACACTCATAGCTATTTTCTAGCATTTCTTAGAAACGTATGGTCCTCCCTGCTGGAAACAGACTGTTCATTAGTAAAACCAACAGAACAGCCTACTAGTGAGTACTACTGGCATTTGTAGCGGTAATCTCATCTCAAATTTGATGCAGGAAAGAGTTCTTTTCACATCATCAAGCCAGCACTACACAAAAGTAAGTGCAGAAGTAGTGCTTTTCTATCAGCATCTGCTTTTCTATCAGTGCCACTCTCGTTCTCTCCCTTTAACAAACAATTTCTAACTGCAGAACAAATTTAAAATTTGTAAAGCTTGTAGACACATCAATATTTTTATAAATCTTTAGAGAAAGTCCTTCTTTCCCTCATCTTATTTCTGCTGTTTGCTGTGGTAAAAAAAAAAAAAAAAAAAAAGAAAAGCAGGTATTTCTTTTTTACAGTGATCTGTCTATAATTTCCAAAGACAAGCTCCCAACCCATTGTACAATTTCTTGTTACTCTCCAGATTCTGTATGATGCACTTTATATTTAATCCTATTTCTGTTATTCCAGATCTCAAGGCTTTCCATTTTGTTCTAGAAAAAATGACATTCCTTCTCTGCATTCCCAATGCTTCTCAATTTTATTACAAACTTTTTAAGCACAACTCTACTTTTTTTACTTTCAAATTACCTCTAAAGACTTGTTTTGCCTTGATAACTGCAGTAGTTAGACCATACATATAAAACACATTTGTTACAGCCTAATCATATGATACCTATTCAGCAGGTTTATGAGATGCCCATGGTATTGAACCTCATTTTCATGCTTTGGTTCTTTCATAATTTTGAGATTCTCTGGTCCCTTTGAATAAGTGGACTCACTATTTTTAGTTTTGGTTTTATCTTGAGTAGAATAGTTCACATTTCTGTACTTTCTGTATCTGATGACATCCTCATTAAAAGATGAGGGGAAACATCCATTTCATTTCAGGGCCGCACCTAGGATTAATTTCAGTCCTATCCTCATTCCAAAATGCCTCTACTTAAATTTTTCCCTACTTAATCACATTTGTTTTTGTAGTCTTCTCAAGGCCTAGCAGGGTGACCACTGCTAAGCCTCTTCAAACCTCTAAAAAGTACATTCTTTGCTGCTTACTCCCTTACCAGCTCTTCCCTACTCCTAAAACCTTTTCTGATAGAGTTGTTTACTCAAGTGAACCTGGAATCCTTTTTTCCATTTCTGAGAACGTGCCCAGATGTTTAAACAACCATTGGTCAAGATGCATTTTTGTTACCTTACACTTGAAAACAGTACCATGCAGGGAAACCTGCAGATGCCAGCTACACCCCTGCAAGAGGCTGTTGGCCCCTTGTCTTCAGTGGATGCAGATTTTCCCATTTATTTGCAGATGGTACCTGCAAGCATGCTCAGGCTGCACTGGCAAACCTGACATACTCTTAGCAGGCACAAAAGGCATGCCAGTTTACAATATCATGGTATGATAATGTCTTAACAAAGAAATCCCTGAAGAAGTACACTCGGGCAAATATTTTCTGAAAGACGCCATTAATTTACACATATACACCCATCCTGGCCAAGTTTTTTCTTGGTGAATATGTTCTTCTACTCAACTGAGCAGTAGCGCTGCCATTAGGTAAACTGTCCACATTTGCAAGACATATGTTTCTCAAAGATTTTTACAATATGTAGGCAAAAAGACGGTATCCAAAATGACAGCAAAACTGTTTATATCGCTTCACAATGTAGCTCGTGAAAAACATCTCATGGCTACAGATTACTTTTTTTGCTGTCACACTTGTAGCTGTCTAAGCTGTCTAGAAGTCTGTCAGAAATCCAAAGTATTTCATAACAATGTTATTACTTCCAGTGTGGTTCACATTATGGAACAACATATATACCTACAGCATGCAGCTTTCTGAAGCAAAAAGGCATAGGTTCAGATTTGCAAAGTGGTGAGTGATCACAAGACTCAAGGAAGAAAAAAGGAAGAGAACCTATGACCTAAAAAAAATAATAATACCCAAATAATCAGGTCTTAGGGTTTTTTTAAATTATACACTTTAGAATTAAGATGTATATTCCATTAAGTGTATACCGGTCTCTTGTTTTCAAGTATGCTTTGAATGTAAGCTGTATTATTATTGTTGCTTTGAGCTTTGTTTTAATTATGGAATATTTGAAACTTTTATTACTTATTTATTATAATATGTGCATTTCAAATGCTATCATTACCACAGAATCTAGGCAGTCATTGTGAAATCTAATCAGTATGCAGTACAAGAAATGTATATTTTTCAGGTGGTTCTACAGCCATATAAATTACTGTCAGTAATTGTATATATTATGGCAAATAGTATGGGAAGCAAGAAAAGAGGAGACAGGAAACTGCTGCTGGAGAGACTCCTGGGCACAGTCATCAGCCCAAATCTCTTCTGAGGTTTCATCCCGTAAGTGTGTGGTCTTCCTCTATGTTCTTGGAGGAAACCTGAATTGCAGTCACTGGTGAGCACAGCCCATTGACCTACAGTGACCAAGCCACCTAAGTTACTGGAAGCGGTTTAACTGCCCCCAGCAGAGGATTTTAAAAAAAGCCTTGGTTAGGACTGATAAAGGATGACAAGATGAAGCTGATATCACTGAGATACGCTGCCTTAGTAACATATCTACCATAACTTCATTTACATTCAGTCTCGTGTCCAGCACTGTGGTTCAAATATCTAGTGCATCATAAAGGAATACAAAGCGTGAGAAGACTTGCTCTTCCTGACATTGTAAGCTTACAGGTATATGACACTGACTTCAAGCAAGCAGTCATAAATGCCAGTTTAAAATGTTAGAATGACAACAGAATAAAATTGTTAGCAGCTGTTGTAAAATGCTAGGCATGAACACATAGACATCACTTCTCTTATTTTTCTAGCAGGATTAAACTGGGTTGTATTTTCTTTCGTGGGAGTTAATGGCATCGCAAACATCGAAGTGCAAAGGAGGGAAATTCTGACCTTCACTTTATATATGTGCAATGATGTCAAACATCCAAAAAGAAAGAAAGGAAATACTGTTACCAGCTACTAAGCAACCCTCTTTCCACATATCTTAAAAGTGCACTTTTTTTTTTTTTTTTTTTAATAATTCTGCTTCTTAAGCAGAGAACAGAAATACTGCCATGGAGTACATTTAAAATATCTAAAATAAGGAACTGAAAATTCTGTTTTTTCTAAGATGACAACAAGTAAACTAGTATGTACTCAGGAAAACCAAGTTTGCCTGTTGTCAATCATTGGTTTATTTCCTGTATTAAAGAATCTTCTTCTTCCTAGAAATGTAATGATGTGCTCAGAAAAAAGTAATGGAACTGAATAATAGAAAATCCACATAATGCATATTTTCAGTAAGCAATCATTACTTATGAAATGGAGACCAAAAATGAGAGGATGATGCAAGTCCCAAAGAAAAACATACTCTTCCAGTGAGAGATTACCCTTGGAAATCTGACATCACCACAAAATAAGAATAATAATCAGAAGGCTTTCAAAAAGGGGCCAATTTATTTGACAGTTTTGGCTGTATTCTCATTGCCAAAAGAATTACTTGTAAGTGGCAGGTGGTGAAAGGCAGGGTGGAGCCCAGGGATGATAATCACAACAGTAAGCAGATTTTAGCCTGACTGAGGAGCAAAATTACATTCCATATTAAATGATGAGAAGTCCATTCTATGCTCAATAGGAATTATAGGCCCCTAATGGGCTGCTGCAATTGCCATGCACAAATAAAAAAACAATGATACAGCCAGAAGGGTTTCCAAGACTGGCTCTCAAGAGTTTTAAAGTTTTTCAAATGACAGCACATAAAAATTATATATACAAGCCAGCAACGGAATACACCAAGGTAAAAATAATCAGAGGAAGGCAATTACATCACACTGTAGTTCTTGTTCCAAACCAGAACCAAACCCAACTGGGACTGAAAGAGCATGATGATGCAATTATTCCAAATCTACATTTATGGGTACTAGCCTATAACCATTTTTAAAAGAATATAAAGTTTTCACTTCCAATTAATTAAAAAAAAAATGTAGGAGCAATGCTATGTCACACACATGATTTCAAGATTGCTTAACCCAGAAGCAAAGGCAAGGATGACCTCATTAAAAGCATGGTCAGATTGGTTTTTGGTCACTCACAGCAATTACAGCACCTTTTAACCTTGCCATGACCCAAATGACCCAAAATTGTTTTCCAGTTGACTAATATATGCTGAACAGCTTTTAAAGAAAAAGAAATACAAATCCAGGAAGGACAAGAAATATTTTTATTAATTATTGTGTTGTCCATACAATACAAACCCCACACAAAGTAATTGCACTTCCATGCTTGTGAGTCTGTTATAAATGCATGTATACAAATATGTCAGTATACAAATCTACCATAGAAATATCAACTAAAATTGAGCTCCAAATTTTTAGAAGATCCTCTCAATCAGTTGCTTGCACATTACTGAATCAAATTTCTCTGGGCTTAAATCTTTAGTTTGTCATTTACAGATGTTAAAGGCCAGAACAGACAATGTCAATGAGATTCATTAGAAGAAATCACCAAATCTAACTTTCTGTACAATACAGGCCAGAGACTTTCATCTAGCTACTCCTCTGTTAGTGGAGAGACTTGTATTTTCCTAAAGCGCATCTTCTAGGAAAGTCAAAAATCTATGGTCAGCATTTTGAGTCCTACTGCCGTGGGAGGGATACCATTTAACTTCCTGAAGCAAATCTGATTTGATTTATGAATAATATTGATGACAATGTTCAAGCTATAGATGAAAATCAGGTATTAAGAATAGGGGCATCTCAGTCCAAATACAACCCAATACAAACATCCACACGTGTGCACACACACACAAAATTTGGTAACCACTGAGATGTTTTCAAAGA